GATTGGAGAACTTGGATTCGGAATCCCAAATCAGGCGTGGGACTGAAATGATAGATCAGGATCTTGGGAGGATGGGACCTGGGACCCCGACCTTGGAATCGGGACCTTGGATTGGGACCCTTAGATTGGGATCTGAGATCTGGGCTACGGGCTGCAATGATGATAGGTCAGGCAGGACCTTAGCTTGGAGGATGGGGATCTCAGACGGCCGATTGGAATCCTACCACTGAGACCTCGAAATTGAGATGCTGGATCGGGGATCGGTGATCGGGGCTTCAGACGCGGAACGAATGAATAACGACCATCGAACAGGATCATTTTTTTTTCCACCAGGATCTAAATACTGAGGCTTTGGTTTTATCTGAGGGACCTTCAATGCGAAACTTACATCTTGATCCTTCCGACTTGGGAACGATAGACCGGGACCTTAAAATGGGGCCTTAGAATGGGACACTGGAGCAGAGGACTGAAGATTGGGACCTTAGCTCGGGAACCCTTCCCGCTTTTTTTTTTCTCTCTTTTTTTTTTTTTTTAATCGGATTCTTAGATCGGGCTCTCACAGTATGTAATGCATCACACGATTGGGATCCAGATCCTACATCGGGCTTTCAGACTGGGATCGATAGATTGGGACCTTGGAATCCTTGGGACTTTGAATCATTGGGACCAAAGAATGAGACCTTGGATTGGACGATCTAAACGATTTGGGGCTTGGATTGGGACCTGAGATCGGGATCTCAGATTGGGTTCTTAGTTCGGGGCTTCAGACTGGGAATCATAGATCACAACCTTCAAACAGCATCTTGCTTGAATAAGGACCTTGCGTTTATTTGGGGAGAGGGGGGAGGGGGAAGGGGGTAGGTGGGAGGAAGGAAGTGGGGAGGGGAAGGAGGGAGGGGGAAAGGGAGATGATGAGGATAAGGTCAAGACAGCGAGAGCGTTGAGACCGTATATAGATCGGTAGGTGGTATGGATTAGGGACCTATACAGGGGAGGGATCTGGACCCTAGATTGAGACCTTAGATTGGGACCCTAGATCGATTGGGACCTTAGATTGGGACCTTAGATTGGGACCCTAGATTGGGACCTTAGATTGGGACCCTAGATCGATTGGGACCAGGGATCTGGACCTAGATCGCGACCAGGGATTGAGACCTTAGATTGGGACCCTAGATCGATTGGGACCTNATTGGGACCCTAGATCGATTGGGACCAGGGATCTGGACCTAGATCGCGACCAGGGATTGAGACCTTAGATTGGGACCCTAGATCGATTGGGACCTGAGATTGGGATCTCTCTTTTGGATACCCTAAAGCATCAGTACACCACAGATTGACCTGCGGGTGATTCAGCATGAAACGCGCACCACTTCAGAAGCCGCCCATTTATTTATTTTTTTTCAACGGCGCCCCACGGCGGGCGGCCGCACCGAGTTTTGCTTGTGGCGTCAAAAACATTCTGCAAGGCTGGGGCCGTGTACTGGTGGTTTGAAGTCCCGGTTTCAAACGGGGACCGGGTTCCATTGCATCTCCAGCACAAGGCTACCTTGCTTTGCGCCGACGAGCTGAAATTCCCCGCTGTACTGTCCATGGTACATTACTCTGGTGAGAGTGAGCGACAGCTTGCCGAGGAAATCCTGCATGCACACGCCAAGGACAACAAAGAGCTCATGACAATTAATAACAGAACAGGAGGAGGAGGAGAAGGAGGAGAACAAGACGAAGAACAAGGAAGAAGCAGAAGCAGAAGCAGAAGCAGAAGCAGAAGCAGAAGAAGAAGAAGAAGAAGAAGAAGAAGCAAAAGGTTGTTTGCTCTCTCTCTCTCTCTCTCTCTCTCTCTCTCTCTCTCTCCCTTTCATTGACCAATCAGGAGGTTGGGTGTGGGGGGGGGGCGGTTCTGAACAGGGCCTGAAAAGATCGGAAGCTGCACACAGAGAGAGAGAGAGAGAGAGAGAGAGAGAGAGAGAGAGAGAGAGAGAGAGAGAGAGAGAGAGAGAGAGAGAGAGAGAGAGAGAGA